AAACACACACTCTTATCATAGAAAAACCAACAGAATATATAAATATATGAAATAGAAAAATAAAAATCACGCATACTAGAAATAAGATAAAATAAAATTACATTAAGAAAATAACACTACAAAAAGATACATGAAAAATACCTTACAGCTAAGAAACTAATCAGAAGACAAGATCAGAACTATTGAAATAATCATAGACCCAGACGACCAAAATGGACGGTCTAAAATTCGTACAGATAAACTTGCATAGATCCAGGGCAGCCTCCGGAGCAGTAGCGAACCTGATAACAAAAAACAAAATAGATGTAGCACTGATACAGGAACCTTGGACGATTAACGATAAAATCAAAGGACTAGGAATGTTAGGAAACATCCTAAACAGATGCCCAGAAGACAGACCAAGAACATGCATAATACATACCAATAGAATAAAACCGGTATTACTGCCGCAATTCAGCGACAGAGATATGACGGCGATACTCCTGGAAAAGAACAACGAGAATTCACGTTTATCAAAAATAGTTGCCGTATCGGCGTACATGCCGTATAATGAAAGAAACCCGATCACAAACAAAATGGAATTACTAATAGAATGGTGTGTCAGACAAGGAGCAAGCATAATTATAGGAGCAGATACGAACTCATGCCACGAATTATGGGGAAGCTCGACCACAAACGACAGAGGACTAAAACTACTGGATTTTATAAATAGCAACAACCTGACCTGGTTAAACGAAGGCACAAGGCCAACATTCAGCATGTCCATCAGAGAGGAAGTACTAGATGTAACACTGACGTCGGCAGAAATTCAAACAGCAATGAGAGACTGGAGGGTACTCGACGAACCGTCACTATCAGACCACAAATATATCACATTCACACTAAGAATTAGAGGAATCCCAACAAACAGAATTGTAAGCGAAAAAAGATCTTTAAATATTGACAGCTANATTCAAGTATGGGGCTACGCAGACGATATAGCGATAGCCGCCTCGAACGCTGACAGCGGGACGGTAAAAAACGAGATGAACAGAGCATTAAGAATCGTAGAGAACTGGTGCCTGGAAACCGGCTTATCGGTAAACCCATCTAAAACAGAAATGATAGTGATAACAAGGAAAAACAGGAAACTAAATACAAGAGGAATAAAATTTAACGGAGTACAACTAAAGAAATCAGAAGCAGTAAGATACCTCGGAGTCACATTTACAAGCTATTTAACATGGAAAAAACAAATTGATAAAACGATCGATAGAGCACGGAAAAACCTGGCAACAATTAATAGAATGGTAGGAGGAACGTGGGGCCTGACTCCAGCAGCGGCACACTGGATATACAATGCAATCGTCTTACCCAGATTAACATTCGGTTCGATAATCTGGTGGGAAGGCATACACAACTGCAAAACACAAATGAAACTAGAAAGCTTACAACATGTAGGATTAAAAAGAATACTCGGAGCATTCAGATACTCACCGACAAGAGCAATGGAGGCAATGCTCGCGACTCCAACATTAACAATGAAAATAGAAGAGGTAGCCATTAGAACGGCAAAACTCCTGAAAGACTGGAACAAATGGCAGCCGTCAAACAAAGGCCATTCAACAATACTAACTGAATTAATACCTGAAACCGAAAAAGACTTATTAATGACAATAGAAACAACAACGGATAAAATAACATTAACATACAGATTTGGTAGAAAGTTTCGAACAGATATTCCTATGAGAAGCGAATGGAAAAACGGAAAACCATACAAATACAAGGACTGGAATACATGGTTCACTGACGGAAGCAAAAACGACAAAGGGGAAACAGGCTGCGCCTGGGTCCCCGAAGAATTAACAAACGGCAATTCGGAATACCTAGGCAGATTCGCCACGGTCTATCAAGCCGAAGTCATAGCAATCTTAAGATGCGCGGAAAACCTGATCAAAAGAAATATTAAAAACGAACACATAGTCATCTTCACAGATAGTCAAGCAGCAATCAAAACGATGGAAAAATCGAGCTACAAATCCTCGATAGCCTTAGAATGCTTCGACCATCTCAACGAATTGGCGATAAGAAATAAAAGAGTAATTTTATGCTGGTGTCCGGGTCACAGAGGAATACCAGGAAACGAGGAAGCGGACAAACTAGCAAAGATGATAGTAGAAGAGAAAAGACCAGGATTGGAACCATGGCTACCAGTCCCATACACAGATTTCAAACTAGAACTAAAAAGATTTTCGCTCTCCAGATTAAAAGAAAGATGGTTAAATACAACAACGTGCAGACAGGGAAGGGAAATGATAGGCGAAATAAACACGGGAAAGGCCAGAGAAATTCTGAAAATGAACCGGGAAGAAACAAGAATCCTTACCTATATACTGACAGGACACGCACCATTAAATTACCATTTATACAGAATGGGAGTAAAGGAGAACGGAAACTGTACCTGCGGAACGAATAAAATGCAAACAGTGAAACATCTACTGATCGACTGTGANAAATTCGAAAGAAAAAGAAGGGAGATATTTGGTATTCTAGATTTCAAAGAACAACAAATCAATCAACTGCCCTACGGTAAACTAATAAGATTCTTCAAAGAAATCAATCAATGGGATAAAACAATCAACCTACCGGTATAAGACAGAAAATCCACGTGAATCCCAGTTAAAATATCCATTCAAATGTTCGATCCAAAACCTGAAAAATTATAACTGAATTATACAAGGCTAAGAAATAACATAAGATGACAGTTCATAATTAAGTTGAAAATAATAAGAACGGAAAAACCTCAAGCTCCTTGAACATGGAATCAACTAAACCAATGCCAGACACAGGCCGACAGAATCCTGAACAAATAGGGAAACATGAAAAAACACCTCACAGACCTATAAAAAGAGATAAAATATTAAACAAGGGAAAAAACCAAAAGCAAGTAATCACGATACAATATAAAAACCAAATAGATTGAATAAAAGAAAAACCCCCTGGGATACTGACATATAACCTACAATTCTAGAAACCAACCAAAAATTTAATCACGAAAGATAACAAATAAATAAGCACAAAAAATTAAAAAACAGCTTACCTTAAGAATTAATCAGGGCAGTTCCAACGAACAATAACCAAACCCATTGTCAACTCCGTAAAAACTGAGCATACAACATACTACTTGTCCAAACTGTCGACACGATCACCCCAAAAATTAAAACCTGAAAAAATAAACAGCATATAAACAATGATAAAGAAAACACAGAACGACAAACCCACAACTAAGTTAAAAACAAGAATCCACGAAAAACACAAACAAATGAGCAGTAGGTACAGAATGACAGTTAAAGGTTATGATTGCGAGGAACACGAAAACACGCGAGCCTCAAGACAGTGCAGGCAACATAGAAACAGAAAAAGAGGGAGCCGAATATCTGACGCGCGAAACTCAAACGGCGAAGGGAAAAAGAAAAGAAACAATGAACCACCAACACATATAAATAAAATGCTATTAATAATCAAGAAAAAGAAAACAAGAACAAAAATACCTAATAAACTAACAGGAACCCAGATTAAAGATTTACGAAGGACAAACATACAACTTCAACCGAAATGAAAAATTCCCAAAATCCCAACAAAGGTTAAACAAACGATATGAACAATGACACAACTATGACAAAAATCAGCAATAAACCACACTGAAAAAG